ACCTGAACGCTCACATCCTTTTAATTATGTTTGAAATTATGAACATTGCTCAACATCATGAAAATTAAACCTTATTTTCAATAAGCAATCCTGAAAAATATTTGGGGGTGCTTAACTTTTTTCCAGGTGTATATATAAAAAATATGTTGACAGCTACTACATGAGCATAAGTTATTTTTAATAGTAATGAACTAACTTCACAGTATAAGGTAAAACACTCTAAAAATACCAAAAATATTAAGCTTATGATCATAAAAGTCAAATATTTATAAATGTTCTGAACACTATACTTAATTAACTTAAGTATTTATAATCACTCATGGAAAAGTATTTACTTCAAGTAATTACGTTTTCATTTATTACAACTGAATTACATACTACAAAATTTTTTAGTTTTCCAAGAAAACTTTGAAGCTGGTTAGACAAATTAATTAATTTTTTCCAAACTACCCTTTGCTAACTCTGGGTCATTCAATCTGACAAGACTTACCCATTATAACAGTTAACAGAAACAATAGATTTCACTATAAACATTCTATGTTTCCTCATTCTAAAACTAAAAACGTATTTCAAATTGAATGTACCTTCACTAAAACAAAAAAACACCAAGTTAGAAATTGTAACTATACCCTTATATTTTATAATACAAGCATTTTTGGTGACCACGTTAGAGTACTTTTCTCATGGACATCCTATTATCTCAAAATCCTTTAGTGGAGTTAATCTAAATGATGTCATCAATGCCCTTTACTTGAATCCCTACTTTTTTATCATCCATATTGACATTAATGACTTGAAACAGACTTGCAAAAATATTTATGACTACTAATTAGAGTTTCAAAATAAAACTGCACATAGTTTAAGCATCAAATCCTGTCAAGCTTGTGACTCAGATGTCATACCCAAACTTTCAGGTAAAATTCTGTCATAACAGGAATTAAACACACATACAACCGATGTATCTCAAAGATCAACATCCAGCAATTCAATAAACTTATCATAACACAAATTATACACACAACCAATGTATCTCAAACATCAACTGCAACATCCAGCAATTCAACAAACTTATCATAACACAAATTATACACACAACCAATGTATCTCAAACATCAACTGCAACATACAGCAATTCAACAAACTTATCATAACACAAATTAAACACACAACCACTGTATCTCAAACATCAACTGTAATATCCAACAATTCAACACTTATCATAACAAAAATTCATCACATAAGCAATGTATCTCAAACCTCAACAATAACATCCAGCAATTCAACAAATTTATCATAACACAAATTCAACACACAACCACTCTATCTCAAACATCAATTTTAACATCCAGCAATTCAACAAACTTATCATAACACAAATTCAACACATAATCACTGTATCTCAAACATCAACTGTAACATCCAGCAATTCAACAAACTTATCATAACACAAATTAAACACACAACCACTGTATCTCAAACCTCAACAATAAAATCCAGCAAATCAACAAACTTATCATAACATAAATTAAACACACAACCAATGTATCTCAAACATCAACTTTAACATCCAGCAATTCATCAAACTTATCATAACACATATTAAACACACAACCAATGTATCTCAAACCTCAACAATAACATCCAGCAATTCAACAAACTTATCATAACACAAATTATACACACAACCACTGTATCTCAAACATCAACTGCAACATACAGCAATTCAACAAACTTATCATAACACAAATTAAACACACAACCAATTTATCTCAAACTCACAGATACTTGTATAACTTACTAATCACTTCTGACAATAATAATAATAATATTTCAAGATACATCCCAATTTTACTAATTTCTCAATTCCCTTCCTTGGTGGACAGGAGAAACTCGTTAAAGACAAACCATCTACCTCAGAATACTAACAATAAGAACTAGACCATGTCTGATATATACACAACCAAATCAGAAAACTGTTTTTAATAATATTACTTGTTGTCATAGAACCTAATGCTCACTGTTCTATCACATTCTCTTCATAATAAACACCACAAGCAAATATATAAAAACATATACCATTTGAGAGAATCTAATACACCTGTCCATAATAATAGCAACTGCATCATTATAAATACTTAACATCAAATTATTACAAATGCTTCTAAAACAATCAAGTTTATTCTCTTGTGATTTATCTGCATGTATTTTTTTTTTATCTTTCTTATTGTAGTTCTCCACAATTAAAATTTCACTATTTTGCTATATTTATTCCCTCTTTATATTTACACTTAATAGTTAGGTCAAAGTTCAAATTAACAATACTGGTTCCTCTAATAGCAATAATTAATTGATTAAGAGAACAAGATGTAGTCACAACCAATCAGCCATTTAATAAATGTGCAAAAATTCAAAAACTCCATATTTTGTTATCCCAGTTATAATTTTTTTATTGCATTCAAATGTTTTATATTTTCAAGGTGTTTAGCAGTGAGTACAGTTTCACGATTTTACTATTTGAAGCAAGTAAAATATTTACTGTTTACTGAAATACAAAATTGTATGTTAAGAATTTTTATTGTATTTGTAAGTTTTTGACACTTTTCTTCAACAGAATATTCACTTTCAAGATAGATTAAGAGTAATTTCTTCACAAGTACTTACCAGGCTGAGTAAAAGAAAACATTAATCCTGTCTTTTTAAAGAGTGGTTGTTGATACCAATACAAAACAAATTAAAGAATCATAGCTTTTTCAAATGTACTTTACCACTTTTCAATACACTTCAAAAACCTTACCTGTCTAAAAGTACTAATGTCCCATAAATGAAGGTAGGCATTCAAAGATAAAGCAACCAGTTCCTGGAAAATGTAACACAAACACATTCTAAGAAGTGTAGATATCAACTATTCAGTTCTGAATACTGTTTTCCTTCTAGCTGTTATCAGTGCAATGCAAGTATAGCCTACAGTTAATACTTAAAGAAGATGTGATACATGTGCTATAGCTTACAGTTAACACTTAAAGAAGAAGTGATACACGTGTTATAGCCTACAGTTAACACTTAAAGATGTGTTATGTATGTGTATATAGCCTACAGTTAACACTTAAAGAAGATGTGATACATGTGCTATAGCCTACACTTAACACTTAAAGAAGTGATACATGTGTTATAACCTACACTTAACACTTAAAGAAGAAGTGATACATGTGTTATAGCCTACAGTTAACACTTAAAGAAGAAGTGATACATGTGTTATAGCCTACAGTTAACACTTAAAGAAGATGTGGTACGTGTATATAGCCTACAGTTAACACTTAAAGAAGATGTGATACATGTGCTATAGCCTACAGTTAACACTTAAAGAAGATGTGGTACGTGTGTATATAGCCTACAGTTAACACTTAAAGAAGTGATACACGTGTTATAGTCTACAGTTAACACTTAAAGAAGATGTGGTACGTGTGTATATAGCCTACAGTTAAAACTCAAAGAAGGTGTGATACATGTGCTATAGTCTACACTTAACACTTAAAGAAGAAGTGATACACGTGTTATAGCCTACAGTTAACACTTAAAGAAGATGTGGTACATGTGTATATAGCCTACAGTTAAAACTCAAAGAAGGTGTGATACATGTGCTATAGCCTACACTTAATACTTAAAGAAGATGTGATACACATGTTATAGCCTACAGTTAACACTCAAAGAAGGTGTGGTACATGTGTTATATTTTATATGGACACAGGCATGTGAAAAAGTGTCCAATTTAAACAAAAGCACATATTTGAATGCTCACAGCTCAAAACATGCCTGGGAGATGTTCCCTACTTAAACCATTAAAACATATCCATCCAAAAAATATCTCTACAGGATGTCCAAAAAGTCTGGAACCATAAGAGATTTGCAACTTTTCTTAATTTCAGAAATGTAACAGATTATGGTGCTGTCAAAGCACAGGAAGATTGAGTTAATTCTCCAGTTAATCCAAACTTGTTACAATTTACAAGGACAGCATGTGGAACACCTTCTGTAAAATTTATTGCAGTGCTTATGGTTCCAGACTTTTTAGACATCCTGTACACACGTGTGTGTGTGTGTCTATATATATACAGGGTGATCCAAAATTATCTTTCCTATTTTAAAATATAATAATTAAATAACTAAGGACATACAGCCATGCAGTTTTAAACATCTTGTAGCCCTGTATATACATATACGTACAAACAAGTTTCATTATGACGATTTTATTTCCTTTAATTATAACTTCATGAAAATTCTTACAAAAATTGATATGATTCATATTCTGTCAATAATCTTTTTACTTCACTGACTTTTCTTTAGAAATCCTGTGTATGAATTTAACTGCAGGTAATTTCAAACTTAAAAATACTAACCATTTTACCTTAATCATCTGAACATTGATGAGGAAGAAGGCTCAAAGGAAAACAAACTTACATGACAATGATCATTGAAGAGAAGAGCTCTAACTTTGTCTGCACTTTTACAGGACTTTATGGTTAATGGATGCACTATGTGATACTTTGGGAGAGGTTCTTCACCACTTTGATTAAAAGCATCATCCCTTACTCTCCATAAAGCAAGTTTAGTATCTCTTGAACCTGCCGAGATGTACAAATATAAATTTTAAGAAGAATAAATGAGGCTAGGAAGAATATAAATGCTTTTGGTTCTATAATAAAAAACATATAGTAATTTCAATACACTAACACAGCATGCTTATAAAAAATGTTCTATTATATTCCAATATTTGTGACTTATACTCTTATACTTATACTTATATAACATCCAACCTTATTTTAAAATTTTCATTACTTAAAGAACTATACTTGACAACACAAAACAAAAATGTCACACATTTGTGACTTTTTTCTAAAACAGTTTGTAGTTTAATAAATATTTGTGGATGCTTCCAATTACGACTCAACTAACTTTATTTTGAATATCGACAATAGTCAAAGTTTATAACATTTTAAAATTATATTTAAAAAAAGCTGTTAAAAATATGTTTTGTGAAGTGGGTATCAACGGTATAAAAAAAGCTTTAAGAAGCATTCAACCAGAACTGCTTTAAAAGGGGGAGGATTTTTAGGATTTGTTTAGGTAAGATATCTTAATAAGAAAACTTGATTCAAACATTTTGTTATAACTTCCAAAGTTTAGGTGATAGAAAATTGGCTCTTTATATCAGAAATCTGGGATAACTTACTATCTCATGAACATACTACAACATACGTTTTTCTATGTTTGTGTGCCTTACTTCAAAATAAAGACTTCTGTGTAGTAATGCATATTATGTTCAATATAAGTTATGTTGATAACTTTTTGTGTGTATTAATTCAACCCCCATATGACACTGGGAATAAGGCTTTAGTAGTGTCAAATAAAAAAAAAAATTTGGAACTGAAGAGGGCCTTGTGTTTTAGATCACCCTTAGATATTTGATCACACATTTACTAAATTTCTGGAAGGTAAACAAATACTTTAAAACTACATTCAACCACAAGATTTACTTAAATAAAAGTTTTCCTAACAATGTCACATATAAGAGGTTTTACTTGGTGATGATAGAGACAAATGTAAATTAATTCTTATTTCTCTGCAAATATTGAGATAGTTCTATAATTATGGTCTTATGATAGGCAGACATCTATCATATATATATAATTTATGTGATTATGAGAGAAGAATATATATATATATATATATATATATATATATATATATAAACAAAACAAATTGCAGCCCCAATACAAGCATCCAACACCAGAGCATAAGTCACAAGGTGAGTCATTATCTAATGTGCCCTGGTTTTTTAAGGTACTGGTGAAAGTAAGACCCAAATTACATTGGGGGTACACCATCTATCCAGTTTGACCTCAATTTCACTGGTCTCACATGCTTCAGAAAAATGAAAATAAAAAATGGAGATGTGGGTGCTCTAGCCCACATCTTTACCACCTTTTGCTGTCTGCAGCCAAAAGTGGGAAGGTGGTTGTTCATAAAAAAACAAAGAAACTAATAAGCAGAGAGAAATAACAGAATACAACACATCAATGGGGGAAACAGCAAAACTGTCCTTGAAGTTAGCATTCCAGCCCCCAATATGATGTTTGGAGATAAATACCAAGATGTTAAGCCCAACCAAAATTATTAGTACAGCTCCCATCCTCTGCCCTTTCCATGCTACTATCTAAATCTTCAATGGCTTTAAAGAGATCCACACAGTAGCAGGTCTTATATAAATTTGATTTCTAATGGATTTGATGGGAAAACCTTAATTAAATATTTTAAATTATTTTATAATAAATATAAAAAGTATCTATATAAATTTGAAAATAGTGATTTAAACAAAATTATGATACAAAATGATAAAAACCCTATAACCTGAGCACTTTTGAAAGGTGGACCTTTCTTCTTCAGGGGCAAACTAGGAATGAAATTATAATATGCAGAATAAAAAATAATTTATAAAACTATTGTTAAGGAGATAATTGAGATTACTTATTGGACATTTCATATTGTTACGTCTCCGTTTGTTAATTAATTTTCCGTAACTTCGTTCCGACGAAATTTTAAGGACACAAGTCTTTACTTAATAAAACTGGTTTATTCTTTCCAAATATAACTTTACCGATACACTCAACTTCAACAATCGCGCTAAAACAACGCTATATCAACAAACGTCAATAATACTTCTGACTGCAGATCAATTACACACTGTCTAT